GCCTGCTTGACTCCTGATTTTCTTGAAAATAACTTGCGAAGTGTATTGAAATGTTCCTGGGAGTGATTCTATATTTCTTGTTTTAAAGCACCAGTGACGTCACCGTTTTCGTGAGAATATTTGTTGCCTGAAAACACCGCTTGCTTCATTTCCGAAGGTTTTCGTGGGAAAATTCATTTGGCATGATATCCAGGTATTTGTGCACAGCCAGTTTTCTTATTCTGTCGCTGTCGAGTGAATCTCTGTCGATTCCGGTGCTTTACGATGAGGAATTCGTCGTCATTACCGACACTCGTCCAGCAAGGGCGATGTGCCCCGTGCCCGAATTAATCAGTCCATGCACATGCGACGTTTCCTCGACGACAGGGCAAGTAACTGTCGATTGTTCCGACGTGTCGAGTTCAGCGGAACTGGAACAGATCTTCGTGAACGAACCGTTTCCGTCATTCTTCATGGACAAGTTCCGGCTCAGTGGAAATGCTAACGTGACTTACCTCCTTGCGGAATCCTTACACAATGCTGCTTTTGTGGTGAATACTTTTTTTTATAAAATTCCCTTGCCTCATTTGGAGACATTTTGACTTTAAAAGTGTCTTCATTGAATTTTCAACGGTGTCTAAATGGTGCAATTTCTGCAGTATGAATACATTGGTTGATGCATCACCAGAGCACCTTCTCTTCTCATGCCCAGCATTTCACATGCACAGAAAAAAGCTTAAAAAAGATTTGGAACTACAGTATTAAAATTCAGTGATAAGATTGTTTCTAAAATCCCAGAGTTCAAAGACAAACTGATGACATTGCATGACTTCTCATCAAAGATGCTCTTCAAATTATTTATTCAACTAAACCTTATATGGGAACAGGCTGAAGACCTTGTGCTTTAAATTGGGTTCAGTAATTGGGTTGCAATTCTTATTATCAACATTGTGTTTTTTATCAAGGAAGGAAGGGGGTGTATATGCATTCACATCAGTTGTGCAGATGTACCATGTGTGATGTATTTTCTTTTCTTTTGAATCCATGCTGTACAACGTATACTTCTCTATTTTCCATTTTGAAGTGATTGAATGCCTTTGGATGGATTTGGGTTGGGTGGGGAGGGGTTTTGGATGTGGAAATGTTGCGTGAACCTTGTGAATGCTGAAAAGCAGAAAATAAAGCTTCCTGTTCAATTCAATTCAAGTTTCTTGAGAAAATGTCACCCTGAAAGAAAATGCCACTGAGAAAATTGACTTCAGTGAAAATGCTAACTTTGACCAATAAAAATTGAATTGAGATAAAATCACTTATTCTTATGAGAAAAAAGTTATGATTGTGTATAGCAGAATCTTCAATGCAAATGTAGGCGCCAAATTACTATATCTACAATATGATTTTGTCTGGAAAACATTTTTTGAACAATACGTTTTTCCTCTGGTAGAATCCTATAGACCGTAATGTTAAAAAAAGATTCTATATAACATTTAAATTTCACGTCACTTTCTCAAAAATTAATTATTGTTTTCCTGAAATGTTTTCTATATCATGATGTATACTTGTGTGAATAAGGATGAGGTGCTCCAGTTTCATCTTTTTTCTTTTAACTTGTTGAACTGTTCACACTCTCATTTGAGGTGATCAGAACAACCAAACATTTATTAACTGAAGAAAATTTGCCATCAAAGAATTTTTTTTGACTCACGATTGAATTTCATTAACTGTGCGCAGTCCTGTATTCGATTTCTCCACACAGTTTACCGGCATTCTGCTTCAAGTTGTTTCTTTTTCTGGATTGTTTTGTTTTACAAAGCGACATTTTTCCATATGGTATCTGTTATATTCAATGAGAATGAAAGATATGCAAAAGCGAGCTTTTTGAACTGTGCCGAGTGCTGTGCACAATTACAACTGGATCAAGTCCAATGAAATATCCCAGAAAAAAATTATCGCCATTGGGTTTGTTGATTTTTTTCCATCCGAGTTTAGCTAAGATTCCATATTTTTGTCTTATTGTTTCAAGAATATTGAAATCACTTGGAATCCGAAGTTGAGCGTCATCAGCGAAGACGCCTTCAAATCTTCTATGACCACCTTGAAGAAATTGGATTTGGCCGGAAATGCGTTGACGTCATTTGTCCTCTTTGACACTATGGCTAACTACGACAGTTTGGAATACCTTAGCCTTGCTGATAACGAGATCACCGACAACATACGGGTGAGTGTCATCCATTAGTGGGCCTGCATCAAAAATATTTTATCGTAATTGTCTTATCCTGGTCTCGAATTATGGGTCTCCCGTTGTTCAATTTTACATTTTCCAAATCATGTCTCATGCTCAGAGAACTATAACTCGAATGTATATGTCTCTGAACGGTGTTGTTGTTGATAAAACAGGGGGGATTTGTTGGGGAACAAGTCGGGCACCTGTAAATTATAATAACTCCCCGCTGCATCTCAAAAACTGGTCCTTTGCATCAGCCAAGCCACCAGCACCAAAAAACGAGTCCGGAAGGAATTGTAGGACGATGCACAGCATCGTCTTTGATTCCAACATAATCANAATGTTCTGAATTTTACATGTAGCCAATGGGGAGGAAACCAGTGCAAGGATAAAATAGGTAACAAATCCTTGAAAATGGCATGAGGGTGTTGGGCTGGGAAACAACAAAGGGTTAGCAAAAATGAAAATGCAGGTGGTCAGCTGCTAAGAGGCTAGATCCTCCTTATTGGAGTTACTTCAGAATGCAAGTTTAGTTGTCCCAAAAGAATGGGAGAGTATGGACACAGATGTGGCAAACACAATTTGTAAATTTGTTACAAGAGCTGTCATGGGTACATTGGATCCAAGACAAAAGAATTGAATTGTGCAGCCATCAGAATGCAAGTTTTGAATAAGAACTCAAACTCTTTTCAGAGGAGTTCATTCTCATTGCCCAGTTCATCAATTGTCTGTTAATTCAATGGTTGTAATGGCAGAGTCAATTTAAGATTGGTTGGTTAGCTCAGAAAAATAGAATGAGGTAATTAAAGTTAAAAGGCCCTTTAAGACTACGTTCTGACTTCTCCTCTCAAAGAGGAATGAAGGTTTTTATAGCCAGATGCTTGGACTGGGTCAGGAAGAAATCAGGTGATTTCTTCCTGGCTCAGGATTGGCCAATATCAGAAAAATCAAAGAAGTGATGACCACTTCTTGTCCTTGAGTGAGGCTCAGTGAGTCTAGTGGAATTTTTGCAAGGCTCACTGGCCTCCAGATCCAACAAGTTTTTGGGTCCAGTTTCAACTGGATGCTGGAGCTGCGTTGCTTTGGGATGCGACAAGAGCCTCACAGAAATTACCCAACAGTATACAAGTCACACAAAAGTGTCCAAAGTTTTCCTGTCAGACCTCTTCCTTCTCTCTCTCTCTCTCTCTCAATACAAGATATTAAAAATATTGCAATATCAATGGCAATACATGGCAATACAAGATATTACAAATATTGCCACATGGTGTCAAAACAGCCATGCAGTGCCCTGTAGAATTCCTTTGCCCCACAACCCCAGTGCTGGCGACATTTTGTGGGAACCCAACAAAGTGTTCTTGAGAAAGTGTCTGGGGATAACACGGATTTTTTTTTTCTGATTCTTATATAGACATTTTCGTGTTCGCCCGTTTTGGAAACGTTGGATCTGCACTCAAACTTCATCCCGGCAATTGATGAATATGCTTTCTCCAATTGCGGAACATTGGCAATCCTCTTTGTCGGCGAAAATCCTTTTTCTGTGCTGTCCAGAAACGCCTTCGCTGAGCTGCCCAACATACGTTCCATTTATTTCAGCAAGTCTCCCAATCTCGCAGTTATTCAAACTGGAACTTTTCCAAATATGAGCTCAAGTTTGCAAGTTATCCGGGCCATTGATAATTCAAAATTGAGGATTCTTGAGCCTGGCTGGATATTGGGTGAGAAGTAGTGTTCCTTCTTTTTCTTTTATAACAGGAATAATATTTGGGAGTTTTTTTCGGAAAATAATTTTTCATTACAAATTCTGGTTGAAAATTTGAATTGAATTGAACAGCAAGCTTTATTTTCCACTTCTCAATGTTCGCAAGGTTCAAGTAATGTTCCCACAACCAAACCCACATTCATCCAAACACATTCCATCACATGGGAATGGAAATTTGAGAAATAAGCTGCATATACTGTATGGATATTAAAAGAAAAGAAATGCATCCCAAAATGTACAATTGCACAACTGAGGTAAATACGTAGACTTTCTTCCCCTCCCCGATTTTACATGAAATAATTAATAATAATCATTTGTCATGCTGTAGAATTTCAAGTATTTCTGTTCTAAAGGATGGGTCTCTTTGACATGATTGCCAAATTCAAATACTGTAGTGTTCAGCAGATTTGAAAACATTACAAGAATGATTCAAAATCTTTCTGGTAACGTTCCTGTGAATGTTGAAGGGAATTACTTTGGATAATCTCTGCATCAGAGAACCTCTGATTCAAACAACTTAATTTAGAGTCGCAGCTCGTACTGGATTTTTTTCCTGCTTCCCCCTCTTGAATCAAAATTATTCAGTTTTGCCTTGATCACATTTCTCATCTGGAAATAAAAATGATGCATCCTGTATAAATTTAAAACAGAGAATAAGCCTTGTGACTGGGTGAAGGCAGTTCCGATAAATATCTCGCCAATTTGAAGACTAATGGCATTCCATTTAAATCGTGGTAAAAATATTCTTTATTTTCAACTCTTGTTAAGGTGAGACGTGTGACACTGAAATATATTTAATGGGTTCACAGCTGGCTACTTTAGAGCAAGCCAGTTTCGAACCCATCCTTGCTACTTTTCTGAGCCCCATGTGCGAAGGATTCATCGACCTTGAAGGTGAGAATTTCAATTTCATGTGATCGAAATTAATCAGTTAGTGTTTTCGGAATGAACCTCTGGTTCTTTTTACAGACAGTCCCATAAGGTGTGATTGTGATTTGAGCTGGCTGCTGACGGAGCCAAGTTACTTAAACCACACCGTTGGCAACTGTGTCAATTTGGACGGAGCTCCGCAAATACAAGACCAGGATCCAACGGAATGGTCTGCTTCCTGCGAAAGTTTCGTTTGTCAATATTTTCCCATGCTATGTTATTGATAGGCTTTTGGGGAATTGTTTGAAATGCATCAACATTTTATGAAGCATGAGCAGCACTTTTTTTTCGAAATCACGCTGAGTAACTAAAACAGACCTAGCTCTTGGTCCCCTCTTTTACCTCAGTACATGCCATCTCATAAGTTGTAAAACACTTAATAGTATCCATGGGGAAAGCATGGAACAGGGCGCTGAAAATGCAAAGTATCTAGCGACTCTTCGAACTGAAGAGGAACGTAATCTTTATACTTTTATTCTTCAAAGTCTAGATGTCGCTGTAAACACATTTATTTAACACCCGGCGATACGAGTGTCTCTGGCGCCATGAATGAGAGTAAATTGACATGGAGAAAATGCTATTGATAAAGATAGATTGGTTGGAATAACATTCCAGAGGTGAAAACAGTTTAAGATATAAAGTTAAATTGCAAGCAATATTCTTTTATCCCCATTTTTGAAACGAGCATCATTATTTAGAGTTAAAATTAACAGTTGAGTGCACCCAGCAAAAAATTGGGCATTAGACATTTTTTGGCCTATGTGCACCCATTCACCAAGGCATTTGCTGACCCATTCATTTGGCTTCTTCCAAAAACCAAATGGCCAGCTGCTGGAGGCAGCCCAGACCCATTTGTGGACCCATTTATTTGGGCATTAGAATTGAAGCCAATCCTAACGCCTTACTGAATGGGTTTAAAAATGGGTCTGGGCTTACTCCCAAATGATGTGAATGATTTCCAACTGACTTCAATCTATATGAACTGCATGGATAAATACATCAAATAACATATATACTTTGAAAATATGTGTATGTTAGATGCACATAAAATTGAATTCACAACATGGGATTTTGGGAATTCATGGGGTTCATTTTTGGTGTTATATAATATTACATGGCTAATTTTTCATCTTAGTACTGTATTATAAACAGTATAGTTCTTAACTAACTTCATTTTCGCTACCATTATATATGAGCTCCCTAGAAAAGCAACATAGAAAATAAAACATGGAACGTTCCTTGTTACTCACACAAGTTTTGTATTTGAGCTAACTTTTAGGTGGAAAAGGAACATCAGTACCGTAAACCATTAGTTATAAATCTCTAAATTATTGCATAAAGAAAGCATTTTGCATCGCCATTCAAGAAAACCCGCATCTGAATTGATGAATAAGTAGCATATAACAAGGACTTCAGAGTTATATGACCACCACGCTTAAGATTAAGATCTCATTCTACCATGTCTTTCTTCTTGCGCATTTGAAATCAGAATGAAAAATATAGAGCATGAAAATGCAACAAGGAACAGCATAGAGTCGGAAACACGATCGATAAGTAATCAAACACGTTGCGCCTTTTTTATATAAATTTTTTTTTCTTTCTTTCAGTTGAACAACATTTTTCCCGACCGCAATTCTGCTCCGCCACCCACGTTGGAAGAATCACAACGTTTGTCCATATAGAGAAGAGAAACAGATTTTATTATTTTGAGCAGTAAAGTTATTCAGACAAGAACTGTTTAACGGAAGCACATTTTGATCAGCATCAATGGACGAAAACATTGTTGAAACGGACAAAAAGAGGCCACCGCAGCGAATTGAAAATTTATGGTGTCGACGTGTCATGATTTTTCCTGGTCGTCAAGCGTAAAACGGGAAATACATCAATGTTCTAGTAGCTCATGCAATTCAGCAGTTATGTTGTCTGGTTTTTATTTTTGCGGAATTTTCCTGAGGGGGAGAATTTCGACACCTTTCTGGAAATTCACTTTTCCAGCTTATCAGCTTTGGGCGGTCATGTGGCTGCAAATAGAGTAAGTTTGGCAAATTGAACTAGAAAAATAATGCCGACGGAATAATCAGCCTGGAATTTTAATTTCTGAGCTAGTAATCTCTAAATCTTTTTTTTACAAATTAAGTTCAAAAAATGTACAACAACTTGGCTGTTTCAATTCAACACAAGGTCACTCTTCAGAAGTAAAAAACGAACTATTTACAATTATATCAAAATGTTATCACAGTACCTTTCTGCAATTTTCTATGGGTATGATCCTTGAAGAAGCTTTGGGGAAAAGTTGATGAGTTTAATGCTTTTTGAGTTCGGCTTTAAAAAAAAGGTTAATCAAAGACAATCAATCAGTCAAAAAAGCAAAGAAGAAATTTTTTTTTTTGAAGGAGGTATGAAAGACTATTGAAGTTCTTCGTCCGTTTTTTTCCTGGTTTCCTGATCTTGTATCGATTAATTGATCCTGATGAACAAGATTGCAGTAAGATTCTCCAACAGTAATAATTATTTTGAGCACAAATTTACCTTTTGCACACGTTGACTTGGAAAATTCCACAAATTTTTGAATTTTCAAAACCAACGCACAGAAATACACTAAATCGATTTGTTTGAGCAGTTAAAAGGCGATTAAAGTTTCATAGACAAACTTTGCTTCCACCATCAGTTATATTTAAAATTGAACATGTCCAAGGCCTGGTATGAAAAGATAACAAAGTATTTAATCCCTCACTTTAACAAAAATAAATTCTTTTGAAGAAATAAACAATGGCAGCCAGTTGTGATGCCGTCTGCCAATTTTCCGGCAGCTATTGATTCCACAAAAATTCTTCCCTTCCCCTCTAAAAAAAAAAATATGTGGTAGCCTTTATGTTTGAATAAAGACTGCACATCATGAGGTGCAAACTGAAAGAAAATCCTCGACTTTTACAAGATAAAAAATGGGGAAAACCTGTATATAAGAGGTGGCACAGTAAATCAGGAAAAATGATGGCAAACGTCAACACGGGCGTTCCTCAAACCTGACACCTGTGGGTTTCATTTATCATCGGGGAAACTTCAACCCTTCATAACTTTTATTTTCTTGCTTTCAACGGAAAAAGGGTTGGGTGACTACAGTTGTTATTTGCTTCATAAAGGTCTCTTCATACCTTGAAACCGAGAAGGACATGTATCTTCGACAAACTAAAGAGTTCGTCGCAGAAATACTAAATTATCTAGTGATTCATGGGTTCGGTGTCAATATTGGGGGTCGATTGAATGAATAATGGGTTCTGTTTGCTTCTGTGAGGACCAAGACCACCGTCACAGAAGTGATAACTGAGTAATTCTTAACTTCTACATTTTTTTAAACGAATTTCTCGATGTACGAAGAATTTCTTTTATTTTCCAGTGCGTCAAAATTCTATCTCAAAAAAGCGCTGAGCATCAGAAATAAATGTTTTCCATTCAAGAATTTGTTTGAATAAAAAGGATAATAAATCCCTTGGGAATAGCAGCTGATGGAAGAATACTACTTTTTGATGAACATCGAATCGTTTTTTTTTTCAAGTCAGAAAAGAAAATGAATCAGACTTCAAATGAACAAAAAGACATAGGGTTTTTAGTGCCAAAAAAAACACGGAAATAAACATACCTCGCTCAATTTGTCTTTTCTTCTCTTTACCCTATGTTTTGACAAATTAGAGGCTTTTGTCTTTCAGGAATTTGAATGGAACAAAATAGGATAGGAGGGCCATCAGCTACCATTTCGTTGTATGGTATCAAAAACCCAAGTTTGCTAAAATGGAAAACATCCTCGCCAGGCATGGTGATTCAAAAAGTTGAAGGAATCCCCGGTGGCTAAATAATCACTACAAAAAAATTGAACTTCGAGGTATTTGGTGACAAAATGATTGCCTTGGGCAAAGACGGTTCCAATGGTTTCCTGCTTCAGGATTATTTCATGAAAGAAATCTCACAAAGCCACGAGAAGAGCCTGAAAATTATGCAGTAGCATATGATTAAGAGGAACGTTGATTTGGACAAGTATTAATCCTTGAATGGCAGAGGGTTCTTTCTGAGTGCGTGGCAGAGTTGGGATTTTTTGGGGGGATGGCGCATTTCAGTTTGACCCAAGGTTACTGAAATGCGCCAAGGTTGAGGAGGCCTAAGTGGGGAAAAATCTGGAAGGAGAATTTTCTTTTGTTTTCAAGATTTTCCCATGCAAATCCTACACCAGGAATGCAAGAAAAAACGCCACCCAGCCAGGGATTTTTTTAATTTTTGTTGATCTGCAGGACTAGAAAAAAATCTTGGACTTTTTCCCAAATTAGCCCTTGGTAAAAAAAAGGAGCTTCTTTTTATTCCCAGTAGCCCACTGGCACAAAATTTTGCAAAAATATCTGGACTTTGCCGCACAAGGGTTAATTTCCAAAAGGATTAGAAGCGGCTGGTTTATCTCATGATGAGCAGTTTTTTGTGGTTCAATCATTGAAAGTTCTTATGTATGTACTGTATATCTTGTACCTGTGTGGTACCTTCTGAAAGGTCATTTTGGCCAAAACCAACAAATCCATGGCCACAGAGAACAAATATAATAAAATGTTCACAATAAAATACAGTACTCGATTATTTCTCATTAGCTACAATGTTATAGGAATCTTCACAATGGATTTATGGTATGATGAACCTTTTTCATGGTGGCAATCCTTTTGCTGGCATGATATTTTATCACAATTGATTAACCTTGCTTTTGTGCTTCCTGATGAAACTTCAAAGAAAATGTCTCTCATCCCTGAAAAAAAGCATAATGACAGAGTTTTGTGGAAAGGTTGAAATTATGATACTATAGTAAAGATTTTCTTCCGGATACAGTGTTATCTGTATTTCTCAAAAGATTGAAAACTTGGAAGTTTGGGCATCTCCTTCCATTAGGAAATAGGAGGTAGCTATGAAAAGGGTATTCTCTCCTTATATCTTTACCCATTGTCAGAAGGTGCGAGGG